AATCACCATCTTGTTGCTGACACTACTCTGTAAACGAAGGAGTAAAATGCGAAGTTGTAGCGGAAGAAACAGCCTGAGCATCAAATGGGAAGTAACAGTTTCTATGAATGCGAGGGCAAAAATTGCAATCAACACTGTACGACGGTTTGAATAGGTCGCAGTGCTCTCCGCTGATGTAGAAACTGAGTGAGAGCTCTTAGGAATGGCTTACTGGAGACTGCTGCCTAATGCTGTTATTTGCAACGGGTCAGTCTGCCGTTTGGAGGTGAGAAAAAATGGTTCAGTTAAAAGTTAAAGGTTTGTCCGGCTGTTCGCGAGGAGAAAGCTCCATTCAACAGATGGTTTGGAGACAAAGAGCCTTCAGTACTAACTTGATACGTAGAAAGACGCTAGACGAAAGCAAAAGCCGCGGTCGAAGCAGAGGCTAATCCCTGGGTTGGAGTCAAACTGTGCTTTTCATACTGCTACGCTCTTTAGCCTTCTTTGATGTCATTCCATAAAGACGGAGCGAATATGGTCCGAGCTCTTCGAGAAGATATATTTGTAAATTTGCGGTGCAGCCGAGTAAAGGATTTTTATAATTTTGGGCTTGACTTCCCTTTAACTTTCACAACAGACGTGGTTCCTTCATACAACTCTACAAAAATGGAAACGACATCCTCAGGTACCCCCCTGGCACCTCAAGGTTTCCTACATCGTTGAATAATGTATAGAATCAAATACAAATTTAAAATCGAGGAAACTGACTAGTCAAGGCGGTATTCTCGTTCATGAGTTTACCTGATTTTAGTGAAGTCTCCTATCAATTGCCTACCTCAACCTTTGCAGAACAGTTCAAGAGAACTATTCCCCGGAGTTGACTGTGGGATATTGCCATGGTAGTTGAACCATCCAGTTGCCCGTCCCTTTAAATTTGGAAATCATACTCCACGCTTCCGTTATTTAAGGGAATGTTTCGAAGTCTACATTTTACCACAAACGGCATTGAGTTTTTCTACCATTGCAGTTCCTCTATATTCAATTGACTTCTAGATAATTCGGTCCACTGCACATATCTTCTTCACTGCAAAATGTAGCAATAAAGGGTTTAGGGATTTCCTATTTTATGGCTGTACCTGAATT